TGGTGATGAATACTGAGGTTAAAGACAAGGGTTGGGCCTGACTATGAGTGCAAATATGACATTGGGGTCTGTCAGCTTGCATGTACACCATGACAGAAGCCATCTGGACTGGTGACTGGGCTTAGGTTGTTTGCATGTGTATGGGCACCTCCAGGGTTAAACTAAAAGTGTGCATTCATGCGCAGCTATGGGAGCCAGGGGTGGAAGCATACAGTAGCCTTTTTGCAGATTCACTTAGGTTTTGGAATCTATGTTATGTCTTTTGTTAAATTTGGGAGGTTCTCAGCTTTTATTGATTCTTTTCAGTCCTTACCCTTTATCTTCTTACTTGACACTATTGACACAATCTCAAATATCAGTGATAATGACATAATCTAGCATCTTGTTAAGCCTCTGTATATACCACACAGCTAACTGGAAAATGTCTTAAGGGAAACATTTACTAAGAATGCACAGATGACCTTAAAGTGTTTTTCTTCTCTCTAGAATGTTATCCCTCAAGGTTTAGCTTTTTATCTCTCTCTCAGGCCTACACATAGCTGTTTATATTTTTCTGCCTCCCTCGTAGTGCCTCGGTTAGTCAGACATTAGATCCTCTACCAAGAGGAAGCCACTTAAAATGGATTAAGAAAAATAATGTTCTGTGAACTTCTAAAAAGCCTATGTTTAGGTGTTTGGCTTCCTCTTATTAGAGTAGCTTAAAAAGCTGGTGACAAAAATTTAAATGAAACAACCATTTTATTTATCAGGAAGGATACATAGGACAGGGGAATATGCCTTACTCATTTCTGTATCACAAACATAATTTTTGTCCCATAGATTGTGGATTAATGAATATTTGTGGCATCAGTGCATGAATAAATGAGAAAACCAGCAAGTATTTTCATTTACTAAGTAGCCTGAGGGAAGTCAGGCTGAGAGTTGTTAATGGAATAATATGTAGCCTGAAATTTTCATGAATTCTAAATTAGTTAACTGCTAAATATTTTGTGATGGAAAATGATGTAATTAAATGAGCCCTAGACTGGAAGCCAGATAACCTTAGAAAGGTTACTTGACCTTTTTTCAAGGAAGATATTAGATAGCAAAACCTCAAAACTCGAACTTTCTATTATATTATGGGTTTCATCACTTTCTTTATATATGCAATTTTAACCCAATAACTATTCTGAATATCCACAGCATGTTCTAGTTTTCAGGAAATATATAGTATTTATGGGTAAGGATTGCAGAACTCAGTTTTAAGGAAAAAAATAAAGAAAAAGGAAATATTGCCTTTTAACAGTATTTTATCTACCTTTGGGCTGTTTGCTTTACCTGGGGACTGAAAGAAAGATAAATACCTAGAATTGGAGGTAGAACTGAGAATAACACATGCCAGGGCACCAGGTGGCAATGATATTTAACACTGGTAGGGAGGAAGAGTAAAAGTTATGTTTTACTAGTTTCTAAGTTTTAGCAATAAGTGGGTCCATTAGTGGAACATGCATTCGGTGATGAATGAACTAAAGTTTTTCTTTTTCTTAATAATTACTACAGCAGTTCTGGATGAACTAAGATATAAACCACTCTTGTTCCAGTCTTAAATTTGGCCAAGGTATCTCTAAACTAGTGCGACGTATTCTTTCAACATGGAGGAGCCTTTCTTAACTCTTCTACATTCCTAGTGATGTGCTGCTTCTGAAGCCACCAAGACATGGTTCTAACTCTTTGGCCCAGAGTATATCATCAATTTGAAATGTAATTGAATTTCTGTCATGCTGTTCTGTCTGTGAGGATTAGATAGTCCAAAACATAAAAATCAATGTGCTGTAACTGAAGTTAGGAAGACGTGGCACCATCAGCAAGTAGTAAGATACAAAAATAAGATTTAGTAAATACCTGCCTTCCCTGGACTTCTACCAGGAATCAGAGAGTCTAAACTTTGGCAAATATACCAGGAATTTTAATGGAATCACCTTTCCTGAAGTTATGTTTTATAAATCACATATAATCTGCATCTTGGGCTCTGGTGCTAGGCATGTACTAGAGAATTGTTGACTGCCTAAGAAATTTTATTCAACAGGTTAAATCAGCTTAGTAAAAAAGCCTTCTTTTTCATTTTATTGTTGTCCTGTGCCTGGTTATTTAATTTCTTTAAGCAGCAGCATTGAAGAAGCAAATGTCAAGCATTTCATTTTTCTGTTCTTTTGTGAGTGCTAGCAAAAAATAATCAATATAAAACAAAATATGGTTTACTATTTTTTCAGATAAAGAGAAGAAAACTTAAGTTTTTCTTTAATGAACACAAATAAACAAAGTTGCATTAAAAATAGTAAAACTTTTTTCTATATTTTATTTCTGTGACTTCTAACAAACTTGATTTTATTATTTCTGTAGGTGCTCACAACATTGGTATTTACTTATTCAAATTTGCAACCTTTGAACGGCTTAAGTTGCCAATTTATTTTCTTATGTTGGTTCTTAGGACAAAGAAAATTATCTATGCTTTCTATTATTCTCTTACATGGACTTACCCACTTAAAAAAAAAAGAAAGCAAAAAAACTGATATTCTCACTGTGCCAAGCCTAGTTACAGAGATTCGTTTTAGTTTTTCTTAAACTTCTGAACTTTGGTTTAAACTATTACAAGTCTAATCCTATATATTTTTTTTAACTATTCCTGCATAATAAGTTATCCCAAAGCTTAAAACTTAAAACAATGAATGTTTATTAGCTCCTTTTCTGTGGGTCAGGAATCTGAGCATAGCTTAGCTGGGCACCTTTGGCTCAGTGTCCCTTGGAAGGTTGTAATCCAGGTGTTGGCCAGGCTGCAGTCATCTCATGGGTCAACTGGGAGCATATCTGCTTCAAGTTCACTTCTGTAGCTGTTAGTAAGCTTTAGGGACTCACTGGCTGTTGTCTGCAGGTATAAGTTTCTTGCTGCATGGGCCTTCTCACAATAAAAAGGTAACTTCCTATAGCAAGGTTTTTGAAACAGAGACAGAGAAGCAAGAGTGAACATCTCCAGGGTGGAAACCACACAGCAGCCTAATCTTGGAAGTTATATACCATCACATCTGCCATATTCTATTAAATAGAAGCAAGCCAATCAGTCCTTTCCACACTTAAGGGAAAGGAATAACATGAAAGTATGAGTACCAGAAGGTGGGGATCAGTGAAGGCCATTTTAGAGACTGCTTGTCACAATTACCGTCCACCAAGATCACTCACCTTTCTATCCGTGACCTTTACAAATGCTACAATGCTCATCTTAGACTTTTATTTCTCTTTGAAGCCTTCTTCAGCTTTATGGAGTATTATTTTTATCCCTTTGGAGTGCAAATAGAACATATAGTTAGTTTTCATATAGATATTTAGCATGTATTACTGGAATCACAGATATTCTCTCAGATATCTGTGCCTCATTGTCTCACTCAGAGTGTAAATTCCTGGGGAAAGACCACATCTCAAGTTCATCTTGGATCATTCTAATTCAATGTTTGGATCAATGCTTTTCACTTAGCTGACATTCAGTGAGTACTTGTTTCTGTAGCTAAGACATTTAAAAAATGACACAGGTACCCGAGAAGAATACTGAAGTGTAATTAAATCATTTCTAAAGTGCTAACTGATGTAGCACTCTGGAGCTCTTCTAATAAATCTATAGAGTAGTGAGTACTCATCTCAGTACAATGAACACCATCTATGCTTGAGGAGCCAGCAATTTTAAAGAAGATATCTGAGTTTCTCAGAAACAACTCTGTAATATTTGTCGCTTAAAATTCTGTGCACTTTATCAGTTCTAAGTTCTGGCAAAACAGCACAAAGGAGATGTAGAAGATGTATTGTCTCTCAAAAAGAGGCCCTGACCTAAATTCAGAGCTAGACCATCCTGGCTGTAAGCTTGAGAACTTGCAAACACTTAGAGACATTCAAGGGTTTAGAGCACTTGTTCTTGAAAGTGTAGGTGTTCAAACAAGTCGAAAATGAAAACCACTCAAGTGGCTTCTTCTGGAAGACTCTGCTCTTTCAATATCTGTGCTTTGTAGCATCAAATGGCTTTAGGGTCCTGAAATTAATATCCATTCTGTATAGATAACCGCTTTCTCCAGATCATTTGTTTCCTTTTGTGCTGAATGTACTGCTTTTTTCATCCAAATAAACTTGTTCAGAATTTTGAAGTTGGACTGTTTGAAAAAAACAGATGTAAAGTTTTAGAGTTAATTGGCAGGAAAAAGGTGATCCAAGAAGGCCATCTACCTCATCTACACACATTTATACACATACGCTTATATCAAATATTGTTGGCATTTGAGAAAATGACATTTGTCATATTCTCCTGCAAAAATCTTTGACTTCACAACCAGAGTAAAGAAAACAATATTAGTTCAGTTTTAGACTATAGGATAATAGACATTGGAAACCCAGGAAGGTGAGAGGGAGGAAGTGGGGCATGAGAAATTACTAAATAGGTACAATGTACACTATCTAAGTGTACATTGTTTTTTTTTAAATCAATAAATTTATTTTCTACTTAAGCAGGTTGAGTTGGGTTTTCTATTTGCAATAGTAAAAGTCCTGACTGGCAAGGTTTAAAAGTTTTAAGACTCTCACAGGTTAAGTGCAGCTCAGTATCCTGTGAGTGGAGCAGAAAGTCTTAAGAGATGGCAGGGGCCGTGTTGAACCCAGACCTTCCACTGGCTGAGCAGATACCCCCAGAGATGTAGAAAGTTCCATTTATGTTGTCCCAAAAAAGGAGAACTGAGGCCAGAGGAGCACACTTCTGAGACACTCATTTTTGCTGGGTAGAACTCTCTGATGAGCAGGACTATCTATATTAGAGCAGGATGCCTCAGAAGGGAGTAAGAGCCCTGTACCCGAAGGAACACAGTGGTGACGGCAACCATCTGGCCTGCAGTTTCCAGAGGGGAGTCAGGCATGGGGTGGGACTGAGTGAACAGGTAGATGCTTCCACAGGCAGCAGCTGGTACTGACGGCAGGAACACAGGGGTGATTTAATGGGTCCTGGGGCAGTGGTTTTTGATTCCAATGAAGAGTCTGGGTATCTTGTTCTCACCATAGTTATACCAGGTCATTTCTTCATTTTCCAAGGACAGACACTGCGGGAAGGATTTTCACTCATTGGTAGCAAAGGCTGGTTGAAGATTGTTAAGACATGTGGATTGTCTGTTGTTTGGAACAATGATAAAGGACAAGAGTCGCCTGTTTCTAGTACAGTTCAGTGGAGAGTCAAAGGAGCAGGCGCTGGAACACTGCTGCAGTTGTGTGCAGAAGCTGGCGCAATACATAACCGTTCAGGTGCCTAATGGAAACATCCAGGAGCTGCAGCTGAATCCTGGCCCACCCCAGTCCCACCAGCACTCAGAAGAGCAGGTGTGTGTAAAGGCGGGCACAGGCACTCCAGACGGAAGGACCGCACTGATGCAGTTAGCTCAGACACTTCTGGCCTCCAAGGAGCTGCCCCGTGTCTATGAACAATCTGCATGGGGTGCAGAAGAATTAGGCCCCTTCCTACGTTTGTGCCTCATGGATCAGAATTTCCCAGCATTTGTGGAAGAGGTAGAAAAGGAACTTAAAAAGCTGGCGGGGTTGAGAAATTAATTCTCTGTATACATATATATAATTAATGAACTTCAAAGTATTGAATCCTTCCTCCTAAAATTAAAGAAGATATTAGAATAAAGAGTATTTTTCAAAAAAAAAAAAAAAACCGGGCTTCACCACTATGCAATATATCCATGCAACAAAACGGCATGTGTACCCCTTAAATTTACACTTAAAAAACAGAAAAAATAAAACTATCATATGTACTCTTAAATATATACAATTATTGTAAATCAATAAAAAATTAAATAAAAAGGAGTAGGGTAAAAGTGAACATGCCTTAGGATAGGCTCATTCTTAGTGAATAGCATAGAATGCTATTTCTCCAAAAGGACTGTGGGAATAGGAATCATGGGAAACGAGAATATCTCCTTGACATCTAGGTCTGACAGACTCGAAGACCAAGTGTAGTTCATTGTGTGTACGATATTGTTTAAACTTCAGTCAGTGGTTGCTTTCCTCTAATATTTTGGGTGGCCTGCTTCACTTCAGGTGAATAAGACATTTTCCTGTGCTAGGAGGAGGAAGGACCAGGACTCCTAGGTTGCAAAGTGCTTTAAAAAAATCTCTGCCACTACATATTGATTAAACTAAGAGGGCTAACAAATTTAAAAATATGAACAACAGAAATCATTTTCAGCTACACACTTGACTAAGTAACACTCCACATGACAATGTAGAAAGACAATTTTTATCATAGAAAATATATCATTATACTTTGTTTCTATAAAGCAGTTGTGCTTTTCAAATTGCCTTCATGTATTTATCTCATTTTATGCATGACATTTTGTTATTGAAAGAATAAATGGAAAAAAAATCATTTATTTATATAATAATGAATGTATGTATCTCAAACAGAGTTCATTTAGGTGATGTGGAGAAATATATACAAAAAAAGAAAAGACTAACAGGGGAGTACCAAGAATAATTGAGTATGCTCTGTAGGGAAGCTAAGTTAAAATCTACAGAACAAAACCTAATGCTTTTTATAAAAAATAACTAATCTCCCTGCCTCCAGTTTCTTATCATTGTAATAATTTCAGTGCACTAAACTGCACCTGCAGGGTAGGCCTTAGTTTCCCACCACTCGTGCTTCTATTTACCCAGTTCCCTCTATCTTCTTCATTTTTTACCAGCTATAAAATCTTTCAAGATCCAATTCAAATACCTTTTTCATGAAGTTCTTATCCATCTTACTAGCCAAAAGTAATAACTTCCTTATATTTCCAAAAGATTTTATTTCTACTTGTCTCATGATATTTATCATTTGTTCTGTACTAGAAATGCATTTATATATGTATATATGCATATGTGTATCTGTATTATATATGTGTATACATATGTATTTCTCTACTATATTCCACTAAATAATCTTCCCTGAAGGGTCTTTTTTTTTTTCCTCTATAATGTATGCAATCATGCAGTAGACCTTTACGAAGGATTTTCAGGTTACAGTGTTCAAGCATAGAGATGATACTAATGATAGTGCCTTATAATTTTTTTAAGTTATATTTTCTTAGAATTACCAGATCACATAATGGAAAACATAATATTCTCATACTTATAGAATGTTAGGGTTTGGAGATCAAGGTCTTTTATTTCCTACATGTAGAACCTAGAACCTCAAGTCTTGAAAGGTAAGGTCATTGGCTTAGTGTCACAAAACTAGTTGGTAAAACACCCTGAGGTGGAATTCTGGGATGCCGACGCTGAAGTCAGTGCTCTCACATCAGCCTGCACTGCCTCTCTCAGGAGTCGAGATGGATCTCAGGTGACTCTTGCAACAGATTTTGCTCAATTATATTCATGTATTACTTACCTTTTTCGTTTTTATTCAGTTCTTTGACAGGGTCACAGTTGATGCAAGAAAAGGTTTAGGAGCAAAATTGTAGATATTGATATTCACTGTAACTAAAAGCTACAGACTAAAATATCTATTACCAAAGAAATTAATCAAAGGGGAATGGATGATGTGCTAAAAAGATTTGTACCTTAATCCATGGATTAACTTTTGTCATGTTTATGTAGATGATTTGAAACAAGTCTAAAATCTATAAAATCTTTTTTTAAACGATTGCACACTAGAGTAAAAGGGTTTACACAGGATCTGAAGTACAACAAACTGATATATTGATTGATCAGATATTTTTTTGCTTTGATAATGTTGCATGGGCTGAATTGGATGCCATAAAATTTATTGCCCTATGCAGAGGAAGATTTTTAACCAAATTATGCAATTTCGACTCTAGTAATTGGGTTACAAGAACCCACAGATACCTAAATCCATTGCAGAATAGCCTAACATGCCCAAGTACTGAAAACTCATTAAATGGATGGACATCTGCTTAGAACTAAAATACACTGTTGCTAAATATCTTTCAAATTTTTATTTTTATAATTTAATACATCATTTACACTATATTACACAAATGGGGAATGGCAGGAGAACATTGAACAGAGATGGCAAAAACACATTGAAAGAATACGAATAATTAGAAATAAGTGAATTATCAAGACTGTCTTTTTGAGAGCCTTCAAAATGTGACATATGTGTAAGCCAACATTATCTTTTGAGAGAAAGAGATATACATACTTTACTCTGTATCTTCTTTATTGATCTTTTGTGATTTCATTTCACAAACTCAGTGTATTTCTTTTTTGTCTTTCCTGCAAGGAATCAGCTAACTTCTTCAGTTGGCAATGATTCTTTAGCTAACACTCTCCAGATTTCATTAATAATACGAATTTCTTTACCCTAGTAGAGGTCACTAACTATTCCTGGGTACACCTTTTACTTGGGAAACACCAAGACCTTTTACCCTTTATATTCTGTGTTTACTCTTATTGGGCTTTTCTTCATAGAATCTGTGTCCAGGTTTTTAAGATTCTTTGGCACTCACTCCTGAATGTCTGGCAAGGTTGATGTTTTTTAGAATATAAAATATTTGGAAGACTTCATTCATCATTGTAGCACAATGCAGAAAATTTCTAGAAATTAAATTTATGGAAATATGACTAGAGTATCTCAAAATTCAAAAGTTCTAACCATTCTGGAGGAATCACTAACCCCAAATGCAGAGATATGTTATCTTATTAAAGCAATAAAGGATTTGAGCCAGGTGTGGTGGCTCACACCTGTAATCCCAGCACTTTGGGAGGCTGAGACATGTGGAACACTTGAGCTCAGGAGTTCGAGATCAGCCTGGGCAACGTGGCAAAATCCTGTCTCTATCAAAAAATACAAAAAATTATCCAGGTGTGGTGTCTCACGCCTGTGGTCCCAGCTACTTGTGAGGCTGAGGTTGGAGAGTCACTTTAATCCCAAGAGGCAAAGGTTGCAGTGAGCCAAGATTGCACCAATGCACTCCAGCCTGGGTGACAGAGTGAGATTCCTTCTTGAACAAAACAAAAAAGAGAGGATTCACATCTTGATAAATGTTCTTAGCCAAGTGTACAAACTTCCTTAAGATAAAATAATGCATTTCTCTACTTCAGTATTTGAAACAGGATTCAGTTGAATTTGGCTCTGTAATGAAAATGTCACATTGGCATTTTCACTATGAGTAACCTTTTATTGCCTTATTCCTTCTATATTGTGAGTAGGTTTACCTCCTTAGGATAGCTAATTTAGCTAACCCTCTCAGTGTGATAGGGTGGAAGATCATGAGCCTGCGAAAAAGAATAAGATCTGAGTGATTCCGAGTGGCTTAAACCTGGTTACCTCCATAACCTTAGGAACATAAAGCACACTGCTTTCAAGCCAGTGTGCTCTTTAAGGAAAAAGTTCCAATATAGCTTATTGTTGTTGTGAATTTAATATTAAACTAATTATGAAGTTTATGAATAGACATAATCATTTATTATCATGATTAATGAAGAAAGATGGCTAGAATTTTGCTAATCGGATACTCGGTAAGAAGGATAATATAAGACGTTGGGAAAAGAAGTTATGCAGAGTTGATATGATACATACAAGACACAGGGAGGAGACTGCACTTTACAAGCAACTTTCTTATAAAATTTCTTTTTTTTGTCTAGTGTATGGTCTTGATTTTGCACAAGACTCATCGGCTGTATAATAGAGCCTAATAAATGATTAATTTTAAAACCCTCTGGATTTTAGAAATGAAATGTTTTGCTTAGTTCATTAAAACTGTGTCTTTTTATTATGGAAAAGTTTCAACAAACACAAAAGTAGAATATTTTATTAATCCCTCAAGTACTCATTGTACTGATTGAGCAATCATTAGCTTGTGGTAAACCTTGTTTCTTCTCTCATTTATTCCCTACCATCTCATATTATTCTGAAGCAAATCATAGGTATTATATCTTTATATCCATAAATGTTTCAGTATGGATCCCTAAAGATAAAAACTTTTTAATCACCGAAAGAAGGCAATTATCACAACTAAACATTTTAAACAACCCCTTAATATAATAAAATGTCTAATCAGTGTTTGAATTCTGACATGCCACTGACATAAATTTATTTTTGTTTTAGAGTTTGTTTGAATCCATGTGCAAATAAAACTCACACAATGCCGTTGAAAACATGTCTTTTAAGACTTACAAAATTATATATTTTATTTTGAGGTAATTAGTAGATACATGCAGTTTTAAGAAACAATTGAGAGAGATCTTGTGTATCCTTTATCCAGTTTCTTTCACTAGTAATATCTTACAAAGCTATAGTATAACATCACAGCCAGAATATTGACATTAATACAATTAAGACCCAGAACATTTCCATCAGCATGGGATCCCTCTTGTTGTACTTTTTTATAGCAACACCAATTTACCCTCTCACCTCCAACTCCTAATTAACCCTGACAACTATAAATCTGTCCTACATTTATATAGTTTTGTAATTTCAAGAATGCATGCTATAGAAATTGCATTACACAGTGAGTAAACTTTTGGGATTGGCTTTTTCGTTTACTAAGTAAAATTTTTTGGAGACTCATCCAAGATGTCGACTGTATCAATAGCTCATTCATTTCTATTATATTATAGTATGTATTCCAAAATATGAATGTAAAAGAGTTTGTTTATTCATTCACCAATTGAAGGACATCTGGGTTATTTCCAATTTTTGGCTATTGTGAC